GGGGTGAGTCCATATTTGACCCAAAGTTGGGTTGAAACAACCCAGCATTTTTTAGAGTGTACTTAATGTACTTACAAATCTTAAGTATATTACTGTACTTGCAGATAATATCATATTCTTTAAATAAGTGTGCTTAGTTCATGACTAACACACATAGCTATACACCTGTTAAAAGTGTGCACTTTGTAATCATGTAGCCTATAATTCAAAGTTTTACTTTTGTAAATCATTATGTTTGAATAATCTTTTGACATGCTTACACTTATTTTGATGTGTTGGCTAGCATACTAAAGCACATGTAAAATACTTTATTATAAACTGTAGCTTTATTTTAAGTGACTATTTTAAATGTACTAAATTGTATATATATATTTAAATACATACAGGTTTCAATAGAATTACATTAAAGTATATTTTAGTTTACCATAAATGCTTGTCAGTATACACTTTAAACATATTTCAAAGACAATAGAAGTAATTATGAAATTGCATATAAAGGTGTACTTACGTTCGGTTTAAGTGGATCCAAAACACACCTCAACATTTAATATAAATTTAAATTATAATTTATTATACATTTTAATTTTAATTACTTTTTAATTGACTAATTTCATTGTAAATAATATGCAATAAAGTGTCCGAAGACACATTCAGTTTGTACTTCCATATATTTTTAAGCATATTATTTCCATAACAAGTCCTCTTTTTAAAATGCTGGTTTAAGAAGTGCCCAAACTCTTGTAAAAACCTGCCAGAAGACTAGCTATCCATGGTTTTACCTTGTGTGTTTTGGTAATATCTAAATAAAAAAGAAAAGAAAGATTGTATTTTTTTTAAAGTATCAATATCTTCCAAAATGCAAAAACATTTCATGGTGCTTCCAAACTGTAGAGTAGGCGTAAAGTAACCACTTACTTTAAAGTGTGGAAACACCATGACATTTTTGCATTTTTTTTTTTTAATAAACCAATACTATTAAAAAAAGTAAAGTCATTTATAATGCTAAATGACTCATTTTATTCAAAGCAGAATATATTCCGGTGAAGTTTCATCTCATGTTTTCTGCAGATGTTCACTTCATTAGGTTTGATTGGCTTGTATACACAATTATTATTATATGCTTTAAATGCTCAAGCGCTTTAAATCGGATGGACTATGATTGGCTGTCATTTTGTTTTTCATTCATCAGCTCATTATGAAGAATCATTCTGAAAGTGATTCCAATGATATTGTTCTTCTGTGTCGTTCATTATATCTGTGATGTGGACTTCACTATTCTCATTTAGAACAATATTAGAATGGTGATTACAACTTAGTTATTGTTATAGTTATCAGCCTTTATTCATTCATCTATTAAAATTGTTGGCCATCCAATCATTACGTTACGTTACGTTGCGTTTTTTTCTTTTGCCACTTTACACTCTAAAAAATGCTGGGTCAAAACATCCCAATTGCTGGGTTTGTCCCTATTGTATCCAGCACTGGGTTGTATTTAACCCAGCATTTTTTAGAGTGTAACTTTCTTCTTATTAGTTGCCAATGTCAGATCGGGCCGGTATACCAACGAAACATGCTACCTATCAGATTGTGCTACCAAAAATATATTTGCATTGTTTTAAGGGTAAGTTTAGGGTAAGGGTAGGTATGGACGGGTAGGTTTAGGGTACACTCTAAAAAATGCTGGGTTAAATATAACCCAGCGCTGGGTTAAAAAGGGACAAACCCAGCTATTGGGTTGTTTTGACCCAGCGGTTGGGATGTTTTGAACCCAACCGCTGGGTCAAAAAGGGACCCAACCGCTGGGTCAAAACAACCCAATAGCTGGGTTTGTCCCTTTTTAACCCAGCGCTGGGTTATATTTAACCCAGCATTTTTTAGAGTGCACCCAAATGTCTGTCTTGCCCACCCAATCAGAACTATAGGTAAAGATTGCGTTAATCTTTTTATGCAGTGATTAAAAGCAATCTGAAGTGGACTGTATTTTGAGACAATTAAGAGCTGAAGACTGCCCCAACAATCATAAAATAACACCAGAAATTGCATCATTTTTCTTTTATTAGCTGAAAGCAAAGGCGCGCTATACATTCACGTGGAGGCTTCAGTCTGTTGAGGAAAAGCAGAGGCTGACAACGAGCGAAAACGGGCAGAAATATTTGGGCGCTATCAGTGTGCGAATTACGGGAGTTTAATAGGTATCTACATGAATATGTGCCTTAGCCTACCACTGAAATTACCTGGGGTGCGTTTCCCAAAAGCATCGTTAGCTAACTATGGTGGTTCGTTCCATTGAACTCTATTGGTAACGACGGAACTTGCGACCATAGTTGCTTTTGGGAAACGCACCCCTGAGCAGTTATTACAGTTATTATTTTTCTAGAAAACCTCGCTTTTTCAATAACGTGCATTTACTGCATGGACGGGGCAAGAACGTAGGAAGCGTTTAAAATGCATGTATACAGTTCAGTTGAAAGCTCACCCATTTTGACTTGCTGTTAATGCTGTTAAATTGAATGTAAGAAACAAACTGCCTGCTTAAATGACCACAATGTTAGAAACAACAACACCGAAATAAGAGCTTGTGCGATGAAAGTTGCATTCGTTACTATAAAGAAACAGTCGGCTCACGAAGCATTTTCTTTCAGAATTTTCATAGGATAAAAGTAAAATCTGTTGCTTTTTAAGACGTTTTAAAATCTACATTTTCTGGTCTGCCTCAGCTCCAGCCGTCTAACAGGCAGCACTCATCAATGTCAAAATGATTAAGATGACCAATCAAATCAAAGAAGGCGGGCCTTACTGTTCACAGAAACCGAGCAT